CTTTAAAAGTGTGATCGTGTCGATCTAGTTTGATTCAAATCATCAATCTTACATCCTGCATGCTCAAACACTTGTTGATAGGAGGAGAAACGATTTGGACAGTAAAACAGTTTTATTCAAAGAATCAATCTCCCGTCGTCCGTGTTGACACTCTTGAGCTTCGTGATGATGTTCAGTCGATGTTCGGAGAACAAAAAGTCCTTGATGAAGATCTTTGTCCAAGAAATCCTCCAAAATATCAAACTTTGAAAGCACTGTGAATATTTGCTGCTGTCTCTCACTGAGATTTGTTTCAAAGTACTTTTTAGAATCGTCTCCTAGCAACCTGGGTTACTATGGAGATTATAGGCTACACATTTTTTATTTGAATGTAGGCTATTTAAATCTATAGTCTACATTTTTTTTAAATATATAAAACTGGAACTTATTTTTAGCCAATAATTTTTCTGTCAAATCATTTCCTCCCCAATCTTTTAGTCTTTAAATTGAGTCTGCAGATAGAATATAGATAGAATATATATAAAATATAAAACACCGTTTTTCTCAATTTTATCTGATTAACCCCCTCTTTAAAAAAAAGGACACCAGGTGGTGCTGTTATCCAGGTGGTTAAAGTATCTGTGAGCTCTGTGCTCCACCCTCATAATATTTATACTTAAAGGCTGACCAAACCACATGTTTTTACAATCCCCTCTACTTATCTTTGTGTGGTAGGCCTAGTTCAACCTTTTCTTGCTTTGATAAAGATGTGGCTGCCACTTTGATTTCTAAGGCTCTTTTACAGACAATCTCAAGTAAAATGCATAACATACCTAAAGTGCTATCTCCTTTACAACAAAAACATACCAAAGTGTTTTTAAAGAGCAAGCACTTAATAGTCTTTGGTTTGGTAAACTACATGACAATTTATTGGTATGGTAAATGGACTGGACTCACAGCACTTTTCTAGTCTTCTGACCATGAAAACACACGCTGCATGTAGCCTATAACTTTCCCCACAAATTTGTTTGATTTTTTTTTTCCCATAATTACTATTATTTATTTTATTTTAAATTCATAATTCTGAAGAAGTTACAGAAATTTCCACCAGAGTGGACATGATACAACCCTAAAATGCAAAAACTACTTTATTTATTTATTTTGGAGTGCATTAACTTTTCATCTCATAATTCAGACTTTTTATCTCATCATTTCGACTTAATATGGGCAATAAAACAACGTTTAAATTTTAATATTTTTAACTGGCGGAAATGGGCTTCTATAAATATTAGATTTCACTATGCACTTTTAATCTAAGTTTATGGCACCATGTGAAAGAAGGGGCGGGGTTTACCATTAGTAAAGGAATTCAACCAACCAGGGCTCACCAATTATTAAAACCCCACAATGGCTATTTAGTTTTTAACCCTAAAATTGATGCTGCTCGACTAACATATATAATTATTTTCCAACAATGGGAAAAAAAACCTAAACTGTAGGCTATTTAATTAACTTTAGCCTACTTCCCCCCCCCCCCCCATTCCTTTACAGCAATGGACCAAACTTTCTGCCCTAATTAGCCTACTCAGACCGAGACAAGAGTTGTTCCATGTCAAATACTGAAGCAGAGTTACCCTGGAGAAAATCTATTAGGGTGAGTCAGATAAAAAGTCATTAACAAAACTCCTAGTGAAGTCAATTCGGGGCGGAGTCAATTGAGCGCCGCTCCAAATAGGTCAATAACGAATAGGTCAAAAACGTTTTAGACGTTTCACCTATGAATTATCAGTTGTTTTATGACCGACTTAACGTTTCTTTTTAAATATCAATACAACTGTTTTCATTGCATTTAAATGTATTTATTACTGATTATTTAAATAGCCTACATTTAATTGAATTTATATCGCAATTGAAATCGTTTTGTTCAGTATTCTGAAGTTTAATTTGTATTAAAACGATAGCTGTTTTTCCAAACTCATGAACACATGGAAAACCTCAAACATCTAGAGAAAAAAAAAGTATGCATTGCACATATAATGCAGCTTTGATATTAGTAGGTCTACTCACCGTTTTTTTTTTTTTTTAATCAACACTTTTAGTAGACCCAAACTTCTGAAATTTAGAATCCGAATCAGCTTTATTGGACAGGTATGCTTAAACACACAAGGAATTTAACTTTGGTAAACTGTGCTCTTTGTACAAAGGTATAATATTAAATATCAACAATAAACACAAAATTTAAAAAAAAATAAGCAAAGACTAATATGTACAAGGCTAAATAAGATAATATAAGATAATGGTGCAGTGGTGAGTAGTGCAAAGACGCTGAAGTAAACATGAGGTAGTTTTACAGTACTTACATTAAAAAATGTGTGTATATGATCATTTAAATTAAATAATATATGTATATTCTGCTCAGTAAATTCTAACATTGTATATATATGTTCATTCACAGCGACAGTTTCGTTCGAGTCCGCTACACGACGTTATAATGAGAATATTTGTCTTCATATCAATGCTATGTGTAATCCAATGGAATGACAACATCCACAAAAGAGAGGAGAACAACATACTGACCAACAGAAAACAGAATGCAGACGTTTAATTAGAGCACGGAGATCGTAGTGGTCACGTGCAGACACTCCGTGCAGCAGTAACAGGATACAAACACCACTCCCCCTCCTCAAGGTGAATTCTCCGGACAATATCTGGGTCGTTCTCACATCAGCTCACTTGGACTTGCTGCGGAAAATATACAAATGGTCTGGCCGGAGAAACTCCGGGTGAAGTCCGAGCAACAAATTGGACCGTTTGTGTTCACCTATACAGCCCCCCTGGGAAATATCAGGAGTGTGAAATCCCTAATAGACCAAATGTGATCGGTCGACTGATTTGATTTCTGTGCACATAATGAAACTTCTTTTTCACTTTGCCACTGAAGAGTGACTGAAGTTGTCCCATTTAATGCTACAGTACGTGATATCATGTTGACATGTGTTCATTTCCAGTAATTGTTACTAATGTAAAGTTAATGTATTTTAAGAACTCTCTCTATCAATACAATAACTATCCATCATCTCTAAACAGTGAAGTTAGTACAATCAGAGCGGAAAATACTGATTCTGCAAAACATTTGGCACCAGTTTATTCATCATTTTTAACTTACACAAACTTGATGACATTTTTGCCAAGAATTTCAGTGCAGTTATAAAAAAAAAAACGTGCATCCTAAATATATAGTGACAAAAGTCTTTGTGTCTTATTCCTCCACACAAAAAAAGAGCAGAACTGCATGGTGTTCTCGTGGTTTTGAGGCGAAAAGTAAAAACTACTTTTATTTACACAGACAATTAACAATGCTGCCTCCTTGTTACATCACCCAAATGTGAACTTTAAAAGGATGAACCTTCAGCTAGAACAAAAATAAATTGCAAATGTTCAACAACAAAAGATCACCAAGTTGCATGAAAACTCAATCAACACACACACACAACACAATCATTTACGCAAACATTGCCTAGAAAAACAATAGCTGCTTTCACACAGAAGAGGAAAAAAAAGGATGGGGCACTGGGAGGACTGTCCCACAACACACGTGAAAAATAACAAAAGTGAAGGTTAGACTCATGTGAAAATGATTTTGTAAAAACCTAGCAGTTATGTCAGTCAGCTCTAGAAAAAATAGATTCTTTCTTTCTAATATTTCTAACTTTCCAAAATGTTTGATGGCAGTCTTTCTAGCGCCCCAGGTGGCAGCACAGCATACGGGAAACAAAAAAGCACTTCTGGTTATTAAAGTCAAAACCAACAGGGTCAAGGTGAATATGGAACATCAGATAAGTGAAGGAGACAAAGATTGGACGATGAACTGTGACACCACATCAACATGTTAGGGCAAACAGGTGAGAGATCTGGAGAAAACAAACAGACAAAGCACAACAGGGAAACACACTTGGGTTAAACAGCAATGGATCACAGACAGGAGAGGAAAGACACACAGAATGAGCATCTATCACCTTACACTCAACCATTGAGTGAGGACGTGCCGTATGCTACCAAAAACTAATGAGAGACACACAACATGCAGGTCCAACCGGGCCTCCATAGTTTGTCCACCTCACAGCTACATCGCAGCTACCAAGGCTAACATAGCTGCGATTGATTGTAAGCATAGTTTTAGCTTACCTGCTCTGCCTCCAGTGTCTTTCAGGATTTATTTTAACAATCTTGTTTATAAAGCTCTTTTGTACGTTCCAAGTTTCAGTCGGACTGCAAACAATCATCAGTGGATAGAGAGAAAGTCTGTTTAAATCCTTTAATGTGTTTTGGTATGTTGACATACTAGTTTTTAATTCTTTGCTGCAAGTTTTAGAAAACATCTACTTGCAGACAGTGACAGTTTTAAAAAAATGACTAAAGATTGACTGGATGAAATCAAATGTAACTGATAGAGAACAATGTAGACTTGCTGTTCACTTGGATGGACGAGATCATTTCAGCGAGAATTTAAACTTATTTGGAAGCATGAAATAAATAAATTGAGACTAATGGCTAACGGAAACGAAGAAAAGATATCACTAAATACATCATTTGCTGTTTGAGAAATGTTGAGTAATATTGCCCTGTTTTAGACATACATGGTACATATTTTTTTGGGAGGATTCTTAAACAATTTACTTTTCACAAGGGATAGTTAACATTACTCTACATTCTCAATCATCCTTGTGTGAACCACCGATCTTCTGTTACGCTCTGCAACTTTGGGAAAGGATTGTAGACTGTGTAATCAGTCTATAGAGTAATAAGAGCTCTGCATCCAAATCCAACAAGTTTAATGAGATAATGTCTAAAACAGCCCAATCATTGTTTTTTTTGCATTAAATGTTCTGTAAAAACACTTTCCTTATTGGCACACACCTTTTGGATATCAACCAATGTATCAGTTGGGCTCTCATGAAGTTTATTTGATTTAAGAGATGCAACGATTGTCTTTCCAATTACATGTATATAATGCCAATCTTACAATGTATATGCCCTCTGCCTTTCTAAAAGCCTCCACAATTTCAAAGCACAATAGTCGACAAATCCTTAGCACGGAGCCAGAGAAACAAACACCAGATCCTACTAGTTGACCAGAGAGGGGTTTTTTTGTAGTATGTAGCAGCACTGATGGATCCTACACACACAATCCATGCAGCAGTGACACAAAGTACACTTCACTGAAAGAAAAAACACACAACAAGCAAGAGGAGAACATACACCAGGATATCAAACAGTGTTGTTGGACTTTTGTCTGTCAAAATAGTTTCAATTCAGATAAATAATTTAGGCAATAAATAGTTCCCCAACACAAGGGGAAGTATAAAACCTATATAAAAATAGAAAAGGCATCATAGTTTAAATATACATCTCACTGTCTTGCTTCTAAGCTCTTAAAAAAACAGATGTTTCTATGCAGCTAACAGTTTTGTCTTGAGCAATTTTGGCATGTATACGAGTTCTCCAATCACAGAAGATGTGGCTGTGGGATGTTCATCTTAAAAATGGCTTAGGCTGATGGTTTGTTTTCATAGCCTCATAAGGCCCCGGACCTGTTACTCAATCTGCAGGAGGCGCATCGCCAAATCTCTGTTTGTTTAGTTGGGACTCCCTAACACCATGGTTCTTTGTGAGGAATTGAAAAGGTGTGAGCCAGAGTGTGTGTGGCAATGATGGGTGTTTAAGTCCATTTGCATTGGGTCACTTCAACTTCTATCATGTCAACATAATCTGGTTTGACAGTAGGGAGCAGCAGCTTCCAGAGAAAAGGAGAAACAGCTCTCCTGTGACAGTCAAGAGCTTACTAAAGCATGAATGGCTGTCTGTAAAAACAACACCCATGTTGGAGTAATAACCTGTTTAGAGTGAGTCTTCTGCTTAGTCCAACAAGACAAAGTGTTTCCTTACCTTCTAATTCAAACAATTCCTTAGTTTCAATTGTATTAGCAATGCGTGCCTTACTAGCCCTTACAATGTTTGTATTCAACAGAACCAAATGTGTACCATCCACATGAGCCAAATCTTTAAACGTATCTAAACATATGCCTGAGAAAAGTAAATGGAAACATCTATCTGAGTACAACAGCCTCTCACTTTCTCCATCTAACAGGATGTGTTTTGCAATATGTACCATGCATGATTTGGTGGGGCTCCTCCTTATAAAAAAATATAGGCTTCTTTACCTTTCCTTACCCTGAACAGTCCAATGTATGTACCACATCCATTGGCTCCATTTCACAAGGTAAAACAGACACCTAATATACACAAGAAGCAGTAACACAGATTTTGGTTTGTGACAATGCCAAAGAAAACCTATGAATTATTCTGGTTTCCTTATCTATAGAAGCTCTGTGTTTTCCAGACTTTTATTCAGAGTCTGGGCGGTGCAAGGGATGGTCAACACGAAGAACAATAAAAGGCATCAATTTGACTCCTGAATGTCAATATGCAACACATCCTAACAATCAACCCATATGTGCATTATGTACCACAGCAAACTGATTACATTTCAACTTAAATAAAAATACACCTGTTTGTCTTATTTGTTCAAACAATAACAAAGTGCATAAACCACACAAAACACAGAAGGAATCCAGTATAGCTTGAAAAATCTTGCATATAGCTTCAAGTGTCTCTTTGCCTGGACATGTTAGAGTCATGACCAGGGGAGGCAGCGCAGCCTCATCACCTTTAATGCACAGACTCGTTCTGACTGACTGCTCTCAGTTGATTAATCATACTCCACTTACCATAACACCACCCTGCCTAACTAAGTCTGCAGTGCCTCGCACCTTCAGTAGGGCTTGCTGTCGTTCTTTGAGCGCTTCAGCTGCACCTTCAGCCTCTTCATGCCGATCTGGAAACCATTCATTGACTGGATGGCTGCCTGTGATGACACAGGGTTGTCATAGCTCACAAAGCCTGAAGGAGGAATGACAACACTCAGAATGGAAACAGAAGATAGATTTAAACATAACAAACTCTGATTGTAAGGACTAAACCCATAATAAGTTTCTGTGACAGTATTTTAACATTTTGGGCGTAATACTTCATAATAGGACAGGAACATTGTAAAGGGATTTGTCGCGCTAAATGTTTCTTATTGGTCAAGAACTAATCTCGACCTCTCTCTCAACACCATCGTTATTTTCCCTTCTCAAGCTGCTGGTCAGGTTGTACACAGGACATGCACAGAAAAGGAAGTCTTGGTTGGAAATCGTTATTACTAACTAGCTTAACTGAAAACCCTTATAGTGGAGCCGTTGCTCCTGAAGGCATAAATTGTACTATACAATAAAAGCTGATTTGTGTCTATATCCTCTAGTTCAGTGTTTCAGTTTAAGGAATGACCCTGTAAACTGGCAACTTTCAGTCAAATACTTCCTGTACATGGCTGTAGTTGTGTTTGTTTTTCTTTTAATACATATCTGGTCAGCTTATTTTGACATTGTAATTAAAACTAAACAAATTGATCTAAACAGGGCATATCTTTCATTATTTGAGTGAACTCACCAAAACACTTGCTCAGGTTTGTCTGTTTGTCAATGAAGACTTTAGCAGATATGACATTTCCGAAAGGCATGAACATCTGGAGCAGGTCTTGGTCACCAAACTCCTGGGGCAGGTGGTAAATGAACAAGTTGGCACCCTCTGGACCTGCCAATGAATTAACCATTTTTACCAAACAGACAAACATTACAAACAATCCTGTTTTCACAATTTGAAGAATGTATGACCCATTTAATGTAAAATATGATCCTGCGGCCTGTTGAACCAGCTACCTGGAAGTTTGAAGTCCACACTAAACTTCATGTTGAAACTGGTAAGTTTGTTACTTAAGTTGTCTCATAATGATTTTTCCCCATTGAGACCTAAGGTTCATCTTAAGTCGTAGAGCGTAACGTCCGAAGTACTAACCAAAATATTGTGGCAGAAATGACATTCTAACTTCACGCGACCAATCAGGGAAAAGCATTTATCTTAATGCAGTGTTTGTTACATTGTTTCCTCTCGTGTCTAATTGTCTCAGAGTGACGTTTATCCACAAACACAATGATGAGGTCATACTAAAGCCTACATCCTTAATCTACAGTTAGGGTAAAACAACAACAGTGACATTAAGTGGTAAAATCGTCAACAACTACTAACTCTGTAATTGGGCAGATTAAAGTATCTCCGGCTCCACTCATGGAAAACAAAAAGCAGGAGTAAAATCAAATCTGAAGGCTGTAATCAATCACAAGACAACACCAAAACGCAGGTAAAACTCCTCCTCATCCTCCAAGTTATCCTACCTTTTAAAACATTCACCATAAAAAAAGTATTTCACTTTTCAACATAAAAAATACAAACCCTCTTTCTGTGTTAAAGCAGCAATAGAATAGAAGTTTATACACCATCTGAAGCACTACAAGAAAGCCAGACAGACCATTATGACTGTCCTCATCCTCGCTAGTCTTCACCAGAATTACTAGTAAGTGAAACAAATTATTCATACTTTGGCCTTCAAATGTTACGCTCAAACTGCATAGTTTCTTGTAGGAGCAGCGCTGTTTCTGCAGTATTTAGTTTTTCAGCAGTGGGTAACCACATTCAGAATCAGAATCGGATTTTATTGCCAAGTACATTTACACATACAAGGAATTTGACTTGGTGTTTTGCCTGTTTCAGAGACAGGCCGTTGACATGATTATGTGAGGTTATGTCAGAGAGAAGGTTGTGATGTCTTACCGGTGCTGTAACTGTCCCCAGCTGAAGCAGCAGATTTAAAAGAAGACATAATTCTTAGAAGGTGAGACCAACACACAGCACAAACATCTCTACCATCCTGTCCACAACAGTTCTCAAACAAGACAGAATGAGACGGTGGAAACCCCTCATTATAAAGTATTAAAGCTGTTTGAGGTCAAGCATTGAGTAAATCTAGAGACACAAAAACTCCTGAAAACTTCCTGAAATTTTACGGGTGAGCTGCATGTGTGAATACAAGAAAGCTGAAATCGTCACTGACTTCATCCAGTAGTTTATTTTCTGTCCCCTTGTTAAATATCATTCATGAAGTTGGGGTAAATTTGATGCATGTATTCAGGGTGAGCTGAAATATTCAGGAATTCTTCCTAAGTTACTTCTTCACACATGCACCTCACAGCGCGAGGCTATCCCTCTCAGACCAGGTGTGCTGGGATCATCTCAGGAGGTAAGATATGATATATAAAAAGAAAAAGAATCAACAGAGGCAGATGCCATGATGAGAATTTTTATCTTCATATCAATGCTTTGTGTAGTTCGACATTGTAGCGGTATCAACCAAAAAGTGGAGAAGAACATAATGACGATTAGAAAACAATGAAACAGTTTCATTTGGTCACAACTCTGACATTAAAAAAGAAAAATACGTTTGATGGTTTATATTTTTCTAAAGTAGCGCATGCATTCACAACCTTCTAATCCAATCATCCTGCTTTTTTTTTTTTGCAGCAGCAGACTGTGTTTGACTATCCTCCAATTATTTAATACACCTAACTTTTTTAAGTAAGGGAACTCATTGTTTTATTATCCTGCATGATCATTTCCTGTTTAAGTGAAAAGAGAAAAAGAAACAACATGTAATGAGACACTCAACTCATAATACGTTACATGTCAATATATCGAAAGGCTTCGACACGGTTTTATCATGATTTTCAAATTTTTATAAAGCATTTAGATGGAAGTCAATTAATGTATAGATATGATTCTTTTAGTTAAATTATCTGATGATAAAAACACAAAATATGGTATTGAGGCAAAGAAAACTTTCTGAAATTAAAACTTAATTAAATTAAAACTTTCTGAAATTAACTAAAATTAACTAACTTGTAAATCAGCCGAAATCCTTAAAACGTAGCTGCAGGTTTAAAAAAAAAAAAAAAAACGTGGGGAGGAGGGGTCACATCCCCCTTTGCAGCCTATGGTAGTGCCATTTGACATGCTTCATCATGAAGGATGTTTATCAGTCTCTTACAATATTTGGATTTTTTTTTTCTTTTCTACTCATCTTGCTCCTGCACTCCTGCACGGGGGGTGCCCCCCCCCACTCTGAAACAAGATGGCGCATTTTCATCCTCAAAATATTCACTTGCTTCTGACGTGTCTGTACGCCTCTCTTCTTCAGCAAATGAGAACAAACAAGAGTCAAGTCCAAAGCAGATAGCGCTCTCTGCTGGTCAAAAACAAGTAACGCAATATGTATTTTGTGTCTCATCGATTTCAATTGTCCCTAATTTGTATTGATTTTTATTGGATATAGTGAGGGATCATTACATCCCCGCTCATGTGTACATGCAAACAGCTTCTTTATATAAAAGTAGACACACTTATTGTTTCTGATGCAATGGGATCGTTGCAGCAAATACTGTATATCTATATGCCTCAGATTGTAATTAGAACTTATCCTACTTGTTTGATTTTTTTAATGAAACTTGGCACCTTGATGATTAAAGATGATTGTTTTTAGTATATAAACAGTATTGTTATACAGAAAATAGCTATCTGTTTTCTTTTCACCTATTGAACATCTCCATTTACAGCTGTATTTTCTACCAAACACACACCCCTCTTCCCTCCCAGTCCTCAGAACTCACCTTCTTTTTGGCTGCCTGCTGCTGAGACGCTCTGCTGGGACAGCAGGCTCTGGTTATACAGGCTGGGGAGGGCAGCAGCAGCGTACTGCTGGATGCCTGAGTAGGCCTGGCTCAGTGCCTCCATGGTGCTTCCTGAGCCATTGGATAGGCCTCCAGAGCTAAGACTACCATTCAGAGCTGCCATGCCTGGAGAGTTATCAGAAAAACAAAAATGCAAAGAGTTCATTGTAAGCTCTTAGCACTGTGGGTTTCTCTCCATCTCTGTAGCTAAAAAGAATTAACAATGTAAAAAGGGGCTGGCTGTAATTACAATAAGTTAGTAGTTAGCCTGCACTATGTTTGAATTCTAGCTGCTGTATTAACAGCATTACATTGAGAAACAGATGGTGCATTACCCATTAACAAAGACTTTCCCAAGGACCTTGTCTATTCTAGTCTTTATGTACAAATAGTTTGGATGGAGTTGTTGTGCCCTCCCATTGTCTGGATTGTTACTTGTAAAGTATTCATGAAACTGTCTTAAATCTGTGTCTTTCTCATTTTGACATTCTGATAAAATAATTCATTCAAATAGTGAAGTTGTGTTTCTCACACATAGATGATACCTGGGCGGGCCGCCCAAGTATACTTACAGCCGCCCAAGAATATTTCCGACCTATTCTTATTTATTCATAAAATTGCCGCAAGTTTGCGTGCGAGGGAGGGCAGGGGAGAGATAGAGCGCTCGAGAGAGAGTGCAGGTGCATAAGTAACTTCACTGAGCGCACAGAATTTAAACTTTGCCTCAGCCCCCGGCGGCTCCGTGCAACATAACAAAAGTCCCGTTAAATAAAGTCCCTCTTGACTCCAAAACCAAAAACGCAGACTCACATCAGCTTCAGAGAGAGAAGGAGAGAGGGGGAGTGATAAGGTCCACTCTCCTTAAATCCCTCCTCTTGCAATCGGTATGTTACAACTTTGCAAGTGTGACTGCGCCCTAAATGTTTGCAAAGAATTCCACTCTGGGAACCAAACTTCTAAATTATGAAAGGGGGAGGATTTAGCCCTAGGCATAATATTATAGTACTATGCATGCATTGATGGACTTCTCCTAGATCAATTAGATCGAAGAACTAACAAGAACTGACTTGAAGTAATGTGAAATGTGACATAGGTGTGGAGGGATGTAATACTGTATGTTGGTGTATTGTAGGCATAAGGATTGGTACCTGCCAGGGAGCCCATGTTAAGGCCTGCTCCAGCACCAGCAACCAGAGACTGCAGCGCCCCCAAGGAAGCAATGGTGTTCACTGAGGAGTTGCTGCTGGAGGTGGGGGACGACCCTGCAGGTAGAATAATTAATTTCATGTATTTAATTTGTAAAGGGACCATGTACAATGATAAACATAAAGCGCATTCACACTTGCACAAAATCCTGAAAAACTCCTGAAGTTTTCAGGGTGAGCCGCATGTGTGAACCACACGTCAACATTTATTACTCAGAGGTTATCCGGAGTTTCTTGTACCAGCCCCCCAACTATTTTTACACAGAAAGTCCGAATGAGCTGATGTGAGAACACAGGACAGTAAATCAGGACAATTTATCTGGTGCAAGTGGGAGGTTGTGGTGACGTTTATTCCTTGCAATGACACTATGCATGCAACTGGTACGATCTCTGTGCACATAATTAAACCACTGCATTAAGTTTTATGTTTGCCAGGATGTTCTTATCCGCTCTTTTGTTGATATTGTGATTCCCCACAAACTACATGTAGCATTAATATAAAGGCAAATATTTCCATTAAAGCGTCATATTATATTTATTATACATATTATTATACTGGGGCGGCAGTAGCTCAGTCTGTAGGGACTTGGGACTCCAAAAAACTGCTCTGGAGCACTCGCTGTGGGCAGCCCCCCTCACTCTGAGACCTCTCCATTAGTGCATGTCCACAGGATCCTGTTTGTGCATGTGTATGTGTGTGTAGCATGTTAATTAGAGTGTAAAACTGAATTTCCCCTCGCGGGATTAATAAAGGATAAATTATTATTATTATTATGTAGGACACTCTGCTGCATTATCATCAGTACTGTGTTGTTCTTTTTACGTCATCTGACTGGAGTAGTTTCACACTGTGAGGTGTATGTGTGAACAACTAGATCAGGAAGATTTGAGAAGCAATCCTCCTGAAATTCTTTAGAAATTTTCAGGACTGCATATGTGAAAACAGCTATTGTTAAAAGAACATCACAGAAAAAGCAATGTAGCTGTACATCACAATCAGAAACCCGAAAGTGTTATTTAAATTAAAAGCAGTGGTATAAAATCATTGGTTATAGAGTTCAGCAGATTTACAGTTATGATTAACGCCGAGGTCATGCAAATGTCATGAGTGGAAAAAAAAGGCAAAGGGAAAGAAGGAACCATTTGAAATGTAAACACAGTGACGTCCAGTGATGCGAGCGCAGATGTCCCTGTGTTTACAAGTTGAAGGAAAGGTTATTTATTTTGTTTTGATTAGTTTTAGGAAATAGACAGGCTGAAATTGCCATGTGGTTCTTGACGAATAAAAAACGTTAATTCCACAAGTTTGATCTTTTATTTTATAAAGGTTTTGGCAAGGACTTGTTCAAGTTATTTCATTGTAATTATTATTTACTTATTTTTGATTTGGTTTACAGAAACAGATGCCATGTGGTTCTTGACAAATAAAATGTGCTGGCCGCCGCCACCACACCTAAACGTTTAAACGCATTTTGGCCCAACGTGTAAACGTTTCGCAATTTGGTCAGTTTTGCACACCACTACTGGCAGCAGTGACAATATTTCTAGTGTTTAGAAACACTAGAGCATTACTGTATGATAAGAAACTGTTTTATTTATTTTTTTGTATTAGACATACAATACAGTTTATGTATATAAAATATACATAGAGAGTATGAAATATGTACTGTATGTATAAAATACAACATTAGAGAGTATGTTTAAGAGGTGAACTCACTGACAGTCTGTACTTGTCCTAAACTGTACAGCCATATATATAAATATATTTACCTGAACTTGTTAATGCACTTAGAGGGCTACTAGATGTTGTCATGGTGTTGGTTCCTGTGGGCGTGGCCTGTGTGGCAGTTGCTGCTGCTGCTAAAGCAGCCAGGTTCTGCATGGCATGAAGACCTGAAACAGACACAGAGGATTAAGATGGAGACTTCAGCTACACTCCCCATCAGGATTGCTCACTAGTTGACAGTTGCTTTAATAATTTAAAGGTTTGTGTGTAAAGTTTTGAAATGGTTTGCTGCAGCCTGACAGTTCCTGCTGATCTCTCTTTCTAAGTGTTTTAGTTGATTTGTTGCATTGATTGAAAAACTTATTCTGTATTGTTGAATATTCTGTATTAACCTTTTCTATGGAGCACTTCTCTCCCCTAATAAAAACTTTGTAAACCCGCTTGTGAATCAGATCAATCAAAAAGGAGATTATAGCAATTATTGCTGTCACTTGCTGAAATAAAATTCTAATTAACAACTGAGTTTTGTTTACTTGTTTCCCAGGAGACAGAGTAAAAAAAAATGTCCTTTAAGGGCTTCAATAGAACACTGCTGTAGATAAAAGCAGTTTTAAAGTCCTGGGGCCTGATTTACTAAGGTCCCAAGTAAGGAGTACTAAATTGCGTGTTCGTTTCAACAAATTGCACGTTTGGTTGGTAGGCGTTTTGCGGGTGATCTACCAAAAAAATTTGCGTGAATGACGCCAGGTGTAAACCTTGTGGAGGCGGTACTATTTAAGTTAGGTTTTTGCGTGTTCTACTGGTTTACATCACGGAGAGTTTGGACAGAAAGCAGGATGACTGCAAGCGCAAAATAGGTATCAGTGAGAGAGGCAAATAAACGTACAGTATTTTTGAGTTATAGGAGATAAATCTGAATATTACAAAAAGAAAATTTGGCTTATAAGAAAACCTTGGCATTAAACAGGGCCTCTCTTTTCTTCCCTTAATCTCTCTACACTCGCCGTTGTTGTGCAACAGACAGCTGGCCAGCGCTGTATCTGATCAGACAGAAATGCTATGGAGAGCGGTATCGAAGACGGGGGTACAAACAGTGGTGAGGTCCCCCAATCAAAGCGTCCTACAGAGTAGCAGCAGCTTTATAATGTTGGTGAAAAGGGGGAAATAGGAAGACATAAACGTCAATGTTGAAATTCTTTAGAATGCAGAGGCTGTGAATGTTCAGTTTTGTTTAAATAGGCAACAATATAGTTTAATCATGGTGTTTCCTGCTGTCATTCCAAACATATTAACATGGGGAATAAAGCGATCTGTATGTCTTCTTTTGTTGCGCTTATGTCTCCTCCTAACTTCAATAACAGCAGTCTGTTGTGTGTAACACTGGTCTCCTGGGTTAGCACGTTCTTTTCAAAGGTGTTAAACTCAGACACCATCACAATCACCTCAGTCTTTTTGTCCACTTGGTAAATCACAATGCGTGTACTAACTTAACTTATTTGCATTTTCTCCTTTCTAGGGCAGAAACGCCCCATATTGAATATTCATTAAAGGTCCCATATTATGCTTTTTCTGGTTTTATATGCTCTTTAGTGTGTTTTCCAAGTGTCCTGTGCATGTTTAAGCACATCTATTTGCAAAAATTCAAAGTCCGCGGAAACGCAGCTTCTCCTACTTCCTCCTGTTAGCTGTAGCATTAGCTGCATGTAACGCTCAGTTCTAGCCCCCCTCGATAAAAATTTGTCAGTCCGACGTCATTGTCAGTGTGAGATCAGTGATCTAAGTCCATTGGCTCGTTGTGGCAAGCCCAGCAGCTCATGTTGCACGCCCGTTAAATCTGTAGTAGCCCACGATATGCCGTAGCCTGCAGTAGCACAGTAGTGCTAAGGTGCTAATGTTTATGCTCCCTTGGACGGAGCCAGTGGCTGCATTCCCAGTATGGTAAAAGAGGCGTGACATTTCCGAGAAGCGTGCTGAGCAACTGACCAATAACGACAGAGCGGATCGGCAGACCAATCAGAGCAGACTTGGCCCACGGGGGGTCTAACAGTGGGGGCTCAACAGAGTGTAGCTGACGGACTCAGAGTGTAGAGGGAGCAAGGAGGAGCAGTACATGAAAACAGACACTTTTTTCAGACTTTAGCTATTGTGAACGTACAAAAGTAGTTACATAGATTAAATATATGAACCCCAAAAAGGGCAGAATATGGGCTCTTTAAGTCAAACATACTAAATGGTCAATGCGTGTTGTTTTGCTCATATGAAAGATTCAATCCTCACTGCGTGCCGTTAGTAGATCAGATAGCACTTTTTTTGCTGGTGGTATCAAGTTTGCAAACCTTTAATAAATCAGGCCCATAGCGTACCATTGTGAGAACTTACCAAGCATCCAGAGAGAGGTTTGAGCCATTCAACCCATAATTAATATTCACACATTCAGATCATAATCGTACATGACTACATGATATCTTATGGCAGTTTTCTACTTAAATGCATTATGGCGTTTACCTGAAACCGGGTGCAAGTTGTTGAGTGCGTTCCCTGAGGAAGCTGACTGCTGCAGCAACTGTAGGTAGAGCTAATGCCAGGGGAGGGTATGAAAAACACATGGAGAAGTAAACATGGCAGAAGGGTATTAACTCGTGAAATGGCTGGGTCAAAAAGCCTGTCATTATGTTTTACACAAAAACTTTAGGAGGCTCAATAAACACACTCACTGCTAGGTACTGTGGACCAAGGCTGTTGAGGCCAGTGAGGTTTCCCCACATGGAAGCAGCACTGAGCTGCTGCATCTGCTGCTGCAGCTGCTGGGCCATGCGCTTCTGTTCCTTGTCCTTCTGAGTGTCTGCAAACTTGACCACAATGGGTGATGAACATCCCTGAACACAACACAGCAAATAGTTTGTACTCTATTGAGATGTAAAAATGTAAATATTTGTGAAAGAAGTAACTGTAACTTGCAGTCTAATTACACAGTTTTTTGACATATTTCAGGTCCAGCAGTAATAGGGAACGAAAAATGTAAAGAAAAATAATAGCATCACCCTCTCCTCCATCCACTTCCTCAAATCAACAGCAGTAGACCTTTGACCCCAAAACCCAAGCTGTAGTCCATTACCCCACGACATCAACATTACACAAACTTTCCCCTTTCACAGCACATGTATACGCACATCAACATATTCAACACATACCATACACCCTTCTCAATTCCCTCTTCTCCCTCTCAATTCAACCTTACAAAAAGCACAATCTCTCCTTCCGCTTCTCTCTCTGTCTCTTCTCCTTCTTGTATCCTTTTTCATGTATTTTATATTGTTTTGTAATGTATTTGTGGGTTGAAGTCGTGTGTTTGCTGTCCTGTTACTCTTTGTTTTGTTTGCATTGTTCTGTTTGTATCATCTAGCACTTGTAGTAATTTCACAATTGCACAATAAAAAAAAAAACAATAATAATAATTAATTGTGACGCTGATGTTCACCTCCATAGTCTGGGACTGATGCAAGGACTTGATGGCAGACTGGGCCATTTGTCTCGCTGTGAAAGTCACAAACGCACACCCTGAAAGAGAAAAATAGCATGTCATTCACATGTTACAACAGCTCACTTCACAGCTCATCACTGTTCCAAATCCCTTCCTCTTACCACTCTCCCTTGCACTCTTGTCCACTCTGAGGAGGTGAAATCGTTTTTAGATTCTCAGATTTGTTCTATTCTGCTCTAAAGCAGATTTGATTTGGATCAAATGTTAGAGCCAAGTTAGATTTCTGCACCAAGGTCAAACCATAGACCGTATATTAAAATGGACGACAGTACCGCTCAAGGCCAGTGAAGTTAAAAGATTTAGAGCCCCCCCTTCTGACTGGCTGCAAAACCTGGCCCTTGTGATAGCTTATTCTTCTTACACAGATTTTGTTCAAGTACTCTTTTTTAACTGAGAGATGTCTTTTAATTAGTTATTTAATGCTAATAAACCGTATAAAATGCCATGATTGACAGCTCTGTTGACAAATGTGAGGCTGTGTGCATCAGATTAGCAGACTAGAGGAGGAGGAACGGCTAGAGGAAACAGAACAAACACTATTCACAAGAGTAATTGACCTTCCTTAAAGGTCTCATATTATGCTTGTTCTGGTTTTATATGCTCTTTAGTGTGTTTTCCAAGTGTCCTGTGCATGTTTAGGCACATCTATGTGCAAAAATTCAAAGCCCGCGGAAACGCAGCTTCTCCTACGTCCTCCTGTTAGCTGTAGCATTAGCTGCATGTAACGCTCGGTTCTAGCCCCCCTCGATAAAAATTTGTCAGTCTGACGTCATTGTCAGTGTGAGATTACTGATCTAAGCCCATTGGCTCGTTGTGGCAAGCCCTGCAGCTCATGTTGCACGCCCGTTAACTTCTGTAGCACACCCACGATATGCCGTAGCCTGCGGTAGCACAGTAGTGCTAAGGTGCTAATGTTTATGCTCCCCTTGGACGGAGCCAGTGGCTGCATTCCCAATATGGTAAAAGAGGCGGGACATTTCCAAGAACAGTGCTGAGCAACGGACCAATTACGGCAGTGCCGACAAACTTTAGTTATTGTGAACATACTTTAGTAGGTACATAGATTAAATATACGAACCCCAAAAAGAGCATAATATGGGCTCTTTAAGTGTTTCATTTGAGTCTCGTTGTATTACCCAAACAGTTCTCTTTCACCAGCAGAGGGCGCTATATGGATTACAACAAGCATTATTACTCTCCAGAGTGTCTAGCGGTGATGCACGTACATGCACAGTTAATTTCCAGTTGAGTGACCATCTTTTCTAAATGATATATTTTCTACAAGTGTTTGATGACTGCATCTGAGGGATCAACCCAATAAATGTGTATGTCTATATCTATTTATCTCTAAAGATCGAAGATAGATCTAAGAAAGATATCGGTCAATATATTGGTATCGTTTTTTTTCTCCCCCCACATCGATATCTGTATCAAACAATAAATCCCATATCTGTCGGGTTCTAGTATTTTCGGATTCTTTTTTTTTTTTTTTTACAACAGGGGGAGGCAGAGACACTGTTATTGTTCAAACAGCATGAACAATATATGCTATTTTATGTTACACAAGAAAAGTTATTTTTTATGAGGTTGTGCAGAGGATGAAGTGAGGTGTCGCACAGCCAGGTACAAAGTTGCACTCAAGTTGGGTGGTATTGCATGGATGAAGCAACTTCCATCATTAGCTCTTGAAAATGCTTATTATATTTTCTTAACAGAGTCCTGTTTTACAATGGGAGACAGGATAGTGTGTTTATGAACCAAATTATGTAAAGGACATACTTTGCAGAGAGAGATAATACTTCAGTGGTTAGGAAAGTTGTTATACTGACACACATCAACAGCATACTGAAGTTTGCTGCAAACTGCAAAACTTCGTGCAAAAAGGGACACCGCCGGTTGTTCTGCTGGAGAAAATTGTCCTCCTTCCACATTGACAGAACCTTGATGACCTTTTTATATCGTGATTTAATCTGTTTTATCCTTTTGCTTGGTGACTGTCTCTTAAAAACAGAAACTGTCTTAATCAAATGTGAAATGGCCTAGTCGGCTGTTTGGAAGTCACAGCTTAACCCAGAATCCTCTATACAGCAGACTGTTACAAAGGATACCAGGCTATTCCCTTTAGTATTTAACACTGTTGACACTTTGTCATGTTTTGTCATGTCCTGTCATTTGTATGTAAAAGGAAGCTCGACTCCCTCACTGTAACCACATCTACCTACGGGTACAAATAAAGTTACCTTACCTTACCTTGTCTTAAAGCTATCTTTCCTGACAGAATATTTTGGTGCCCGTGTATACCAGCAGAAATGGTCATACCTCGGCTGAGTCCATCAGGGCCTCGAAGTATTCGGCACTCCTCTATCTGTCCGTATGGGGAGAACATCAGTCGGATGTCGTTCTCATTACACTTCTTTGAGATCATTCCAATAAACAGCTTCCTGTCCTCCACTGCTGTATTGACCACAAGACAACATCAAACACACCTGCTCTATGTCAAGGTAAATGACTTAAACAACATTACACATATACAATATACATAAATTAAAGCTCTTCTGCAATTCAAAACATCATCAAAGAGGCATAGGTTGAATAAGGACAGTAAGGTCCAACTGCTCTGCGTCATGCCACATTAAGAAATTAAAGACAAGTATGTCTAAAAAAATAAAAATGTCCAAAAACATTTATCTAGAGTTTGCTTAATGTAATAATTCTTGAAACTGCTTTATAAAGTAGTTTTGTTTGCTTCATTAGTATTGTTGTTTTGGAGAGGAGGAGACTTCTGCATTTTTAACAACTAACACTGAAGGAATCCCGAAACTAAAAAAAAATAGCTCTTCAAACAAGTAATCTGCGACTCATTTGCAGTTCCTCAAGCCATACAATGAACACAGAGGATCAGTTTGAGACTTCACATGTTAAGGTGTCATCCTTCAACAATGCTTCAACTGCAATGATCTCTACAGGTGAAAGTAATAACATTTAGATATTTGATCAACTTAAAGTCATATAAGAAACTAAATTGAAAAATGTATTTGACTATTTCAAGTAGGGATGGGGTTTGAAACA